TTCTTGCAGCTTCTCCCCACCCCCATCACCCCCCAAAATGAGATTTGAGCCGTGAGTCATCCCATTTTGGGGCAGTTCTAATCAAAGGTGTTTCTCATTTAATCGCTGGAGGCCAAGAATATTTTTTTGCTTTGTCGGAAGGCCAGTCTAAAAACCCTAGGAGTTTGCTCCTTTCAGCACTCACTCCCATAAATTCACTTCCTCCTCTCCTTATACCTGTTTTTCTAAAGGTAAAGGTTCCCCTCGCACATACATGCTAGTCGTTCCCGACTCTAGGGGGCAGTGCTCATCTCCGTTTCAAAGCCGAAGAGCCAGTGCTGTCCGAAGACGTCTCCGTGGTCACGTGGCCGGCATGACTCAACGCCAAAGGCGCACGGAATAAACGCTGTTCCCTTCCCACCAAAGGTGGTCCCTATTTTTCTACTGGCATTTTTTTAGGCGCTTTCGAACTTCTAGGTTGGCAGAAGGTGGGACAAGTAACGAGAGCTCACCCCATTACGTGAACTAGGGATTCAAACCGCTGAACTGCCGACCTTTCCATCGACAAGCTCAGCGTCTTAGCCACTGCGCCACCGCGTCCCACAATAACTACACTGGCAAATGTAATGGTGTTTTGTTTCATTTGGGCTTAATCTGTTGCATCAGCCAAACTATTGAGATTAGTCATGATTAGTTCCAGTTTATGGACAGAGGAGAATATTTGTATCCTGGGTGCTGTTTGAGCTCGGTTTCTTGGAGATGTTTCATTACCCAACTAGGGAATATTATCGATGCTAGAAGGAAGCGGGGTTTGCAGGGAGGAGGAGGAGAGCTGTGGGGTCTTTGATTGTTTTCTTGTAGATGTTTCATGACCCAACTAGGGAACGTCATCAGTGCTAGAAGGAAGCGGGGATTATGGAGAGGAGGAGGAGGAGGAGAGCAGGAGAAGGAAGAGGACTCTGATGTCCTTGGAATTCTCTGAGTTTAGTTGTTTTCTTGCAGATGTTTCATTGCCTAGCTAGGGAACATCATCAGTGTTAGAAGGGGGTGAGGTTTAGAATAGAATAACAGAATTGGAAGGGACCTTGGAGGTCTTCTAGTCCAGCCCCCTGCTTAGGCAGGAAACCCTCCACCACTTCAGACAAATGGTTATCCAACATCTTCTTAAAAATTTCCAGTGTTGGAGCATTCACAACTTCTGGTGGCAAGTAGTTCCATTGGTTAATTAATCTAGCTGTCAGGAAATTTCTCCTTAGTTCTAAATTGCTTCTCTCCTTGGTTAGTTTCCACCCATTGCTTCTTCTCCTACCCTTCCTTCCTTCCTTCCTTCCTTCCTTCCTTCCTTCCTTCCTTCCTTCCTTCCCAAGCTAGACCAGATTTATATACCACTTCACAGTGCTTTTACAGCTCTCTCTAAGCGGTTTACAGAGTCAGCCTATGGCCCCCAACAATCAAACAAATGTGGAAAAGGTCATAAGTCGCTTTTTTTTAATGCCATTGTAACTTTGAATTTTCACTGAATAAACTGTTGTAAGTCGAGGGCTGCTCATAATGGTTAATTTGTCAATGCCGATGGGCCCCCCGTTCTCCCCAGCTTCAAATTTGATAATGAAACCAATATTTGAAGACTTTTTAAATCCACAGAACCCTCTTTGCATTTACAAAAAAAAAAAAAGAAGAAGAAGAAGAAATAAGCATCATAATTTTGCTGTGTGTGACCAAAGAATTTTGCAGGAATTTTAATGCACGGAGGTCATAAATGCAATCGTGTAAAAATGTTAATTGCCAAACACATTTTGACCTAAAATTAAATGGAGCCTTCTTCAGAAGGAAATATATTTTTCTGCTTATATTCAGTGTATTTGGAAGCCGGTGACGGTTTTATAGATTAAGTTAAATTTCCCCCGTTCTTTGCAACTGGCATCCAGAAATATCAAGATTCATTGCACTAATTTTTTTGAAAGCTGTTTTATGCTTGAGTTAAAAATACAGATGCTTTGCTAAAAATATTTCTTATCGTAGCTAAATATCTTAACTCATCACGAGAAGCGATTCCCCCCCGCACCCCTGCTAAGTTTTCCAATAACGAGAACGATATATTAATCTTCTCCTTAAATCATTGCCAATTAATCAAAGTACGAGTGCAGTTTTCAGAAGCAAAACTCCTTCCGTGCTGTACTTTCAACACTTGGCTGAAAATATCATCATCGTTGTGTCTTCCAAGACGGCGTTTTAGCCTGTTTCTTCGCTAACGTCAAAAAATGAACGAGCTGTAGGTTTGCTTTTAAATTAACAGCTGAAATTCACTCGGGTGGAAATAGAGCAAATTTAACTGTGACTAGAATTTGTCATTAAAAAGTTATTACGAAAGCAGACCAGTCTATGTTCTTTCTCGTTTGCCGTTAATGACAAAACAATTTCTCTAAAAAAAAATAATAAAATAAATTAAGTTAAATAGGAGAGAGGCTGTATTTTCAGTCGGAAAATAGTGCAAAAGGCATAATATAATAGAAGTGTAGTGAAGGCAGTCAGCTTAGAGATTTATGAGTCAATAAAGAGACAATTACAGCTTGTTTATAAAAGGAAGAGTCCGTTTTTTTGACCTGCAAGCAACAGCAAGACTCTAATAAATGATAATTCTAGCATCTCGCTTGAAACAATAAAAGTCAATAGGAAGATATAGGATTTCAATAAAATTATGACACTATATAAACTTTCTCCCTGGAACAAGTTTTCCCCACAGATATCTGATTGACTTTAGTTAGATTTGTAACTTTAATTTTGTTTCCATTGATTTTTTGTGGCCAACAACTAATTAGACAGTCAGTGTCAAATAGCCCGAATCGTGGAAGAAACTATAAAAGCCAAACCAGCATAAAAGGACAATATGCTAGAAAAAAAGCCCAAATGAACTGTATGAATAAGTACACAATTAATACGCAAATTTAGCAAATTTGTTTGCTGCCTTTTCTGCTCTTTTGGGCGCCACGATTTGCAAAGAGAGAACGAACTGGAAGTGTCACTGAAATAAGAAGTCGAATAGAGCTGTAGCTGATTTTTATTGTACTCTTTCTTTTCATTAGAAAAGGCAAAGCAATTAATAGAATTAATAGAAAATGCAAAGCAATTAATGCCCATCGATTCTCTCCTATTAGTTATCTTGGATGGGTTGTGTTAATTGTTACTGATGGATCTGTTTCATGCCAAGTGCGGTTTGATGTCTATAGAATAACAGGGTTGAAAGGGACCTTGGAGGTCTTCTAGTCCAACCCTCTGCTTAGGCAGGAAACCCTACACCACTTCAGACAAATGGTTGTCCAACCTCTTCTTAAAAACTTCCAGTGTTGGAGCATTCACAACTTCTGGTGGCAAGTTGTTCCACTGGTTAATTCTTCTCACTGTCAGGAAATTCCTCCTTAGTTCTAGGTTGCTTCTCTCCTTGATTAGTTTCCACCCATTGCTTCTTGTCCTGTCTTCAGGTGCTTTGGAGAATAGGGTGACTCTTACATTTCCCCACCGACCTCCATGATGTTTTTAGCAGGAGATGCTTACCCGTTGAGATGCTTTTCAGACCATCCTGAATTTATAGCCTCTTCCTCCTCAGATAAACAATTAGGAAGCCCTCGAGGCTTGACAGCCAATTTTGAAGCCTGCTTGGAATCCAGATCGGAAACGCGGAGGTCTGTTCACCAAAAGCTGAAATGTAAGATCCTCCCTCCCCATAAGTCATTTCTTGGACCGAGGCAGCTGAGTAAGCAAAAGGCTTTGGCAACTCCCCAAGTCTAAGCGACTGTGACTTCCAGGAGAAGCAGCAGTTCACGATGTTAGCTTAGCAAACACCGGCTAGATTCGGCCTCAATAATTCAGACGACAATCAGTGGGGAGTTCAGATCATAGAGGACTTCCCTGGAGCTTGAGGGCAATACAAGGAGGACATTCTCACCGGGCAGGAGCTTTTACTCAGGTTAACAGGGTTGGAAGGGACCTTATAAGGTCATCTAGTCCAACCTCCCGGCTCAAGCAGGAGACCCTACTCCATTTCTTGGCAACTGATTCATAGTTATGACGGTCACAGTGTCCCGCGGTCATGTGATGCCTTTTTGTGACCTTCTGACAAGCAAGGTCCAGGGGTAAGCCAGATTCACTTAACAACTGTGCTACGAACCCAAGAGCCTCTCCCTTGCTCCTGGCACACAATGGCCCGGTAGGCCCATTTTTCTCTCTCACCTGGCTCCAGAGCCTTTCTAGGAGTCTGGGGAGGGCTAAAACAGCCTTCCCCACCCCTTGGAGGCCCTCCGGAGGCCGAAAATGGCCCGTTTGCCAACTTCCTGTCCCACTGGAAGTTGGCAAATGGGACATTTCTGGCCTCCAAGGGGTGGGGAAGGCTGTTTTCACCCTCCCCAGACTCCTGGAAAGGCTCTGGAGGTTGGGGACAGCAAAAAATGGGCTCCCCCCCCAGGTCCTCTGGAGGCAGGATAAAGCCTGTTTCCCTACTTCTGGTGGGCCCAGAAGGCTGCGCCGGAGCTGAGCTCGCGTGCCGACTGATATGGCTATGCGTGCCATAGGTTCGCCATCACGTGTCTAGGGTTTGCAAGGAAGGTCGTAAAGCAGGGCAAAATTCACTTAACAAATGTCTCACTTAGCAACAGAAATTTGGGGCTCAATTGTGATCATATGTTGAGGACTACCCATACAAGTATATCATATTTAATATAAATTTTAAACAGGGATGGGGGTTCTCATTGCTTTTTTATTGTTTTATGTTAGGTTTTTATCTTTGTAAGCCAATCAGAGTCACTGGGAATGAATTGGGCGACTTAAATTCTTTAAAAAATAAAGTAAACGTATAATTTTCTTTTATCATAGTCAACGGTCGGTGTAAAATGGAAAGACGTGGGCATAAAGCAGCAGGAGAATTGGAAGAAAGTGGAGAAATGGAAATGTCTCGTGTGTGTTTGACTTGTCCTCCTCGGTGGTTGCATCGGATGGAAACTTAACAGCTTCTTCCGCTTTTTTCCCAGGCCCGTGACGGAATGAGATCCATTCTGGAATTCTACGACAGCGAGCTGAATCCGTCGGAGCACTCCCCGCAGCTCAGTTTCCGCGTGCGAGAAGCCGAGGAGCTGGTGCAGAAGGTGGAAGCCCACTGCACCGAAATGGAGGTAATGGAGGGCAAAAACATTGGGGTGAGCCGATAAAGGAGAATATTTGTAGCTCAGGGTTGACATGAAGGGTCCTTGGTGCTTCTCTGAGCTTGGTGGTTTCCTTGGAGACGTTTCATGACCCAGCTAGGGAACATCATCAGTGCTAGAAAGGAGTGGAGTTTTTGGAGAGGAAGAGCAGGAGGAAGAGGAGGAACTGTGGGGTCCTTGGTGCGCTCTGAGCTTGCTTACAGATGTTTCATGACCCAAATAAGTTACATCATCAGTTGCTAGAAGGGAGTGGGGATTGTGGAATGGAGGAAGACGGTGGAGTTTTGGATGCTCTCTGAGCATGGTTGTTTTCGTGCAGGCATTTCATGACCCAAATAAGTTGCATCATCAGTGCTAGAAGGGAGGGGGGTTTGCAAAGAGGAGGAGGAGAAGGAGAAGGAACAACTGTGAGGTCCTTGTTCTTTGAGCTTCCTCGTTTTATTGCAGGCGTTTCATGACCCAACTAGGTAACATCATCAGTGCCAGCAAGGAGTGCAGTTTGCTGTCAGTTTATATTCTGGTGACTTGCCTACAGGTCTGTGGGGGTCTTAGAGATTCTTTGGTTGGGCTGTTTACCATTTACGGGTGGCTCTTTGGCAGTTTCTTGACTGGGCTGTTGCTTACGTCAGGCTCAAGGTTGACTCAGCCTTCCATCCTTCCGAGGCGGGTAAAATGAGGACCCAATAGGCTGAACCCGCTTAGAGAGGGCTGTAAAGCACTGTAAAGCAGTATATAAGTCTAATTGCTATTGCCCTTCCTTCCTTTCTCCCTCCCTCCCTCCCTTCTTCTTCCTTCCACAGTAGTTAGAATGGAGTATTGCAGGCTGACTCTGCCCACTGCCAGGAGTTGAGACTCGAACTGCCAAATTGCAGGCAGCCGGCAGTCAGCAGAAGTAGCCTGTAGTACTGCACTCTAACCATTGCGCCACCCTGGCTCATAGGTAGCTCAATGTAGCTCAATAAATCCATTTTCGGAGAGAATAGAATTTTCCCGATAAGCCGATTCCGTTGTTATTCCTCTTAAGTTTCAGCCTCAACTTTCTCGCTCGGTCCTCCCACGCCACCCCGTCACAGCCAGCGCATTCTTCCGAAAGATTTCCAAAAGTAAATAATTTTTTTTAAAAAAAACAACAACCCTTAATTTGGCTCCAGGTAGCAGCTGTTGTGGACTAAGCAGCACAATATCAAGCCATCGTTAGCGGTTGCTCTTTGAAGGAGAAAGAGAGACGGATTAAAGAGTGGGATTTTAGCCCCCCCTATCCAACAACTTCCAAAGGGCTCCCCAGGACAGACAGGAGGAGAACCCCCAGAGGAATAAATTAAGACATTCCCCAAATGTCTTAATTTATTTCTGAGAGGCAGTGTGATGTTCTCAGCTACACCTAATGATGAGCCAGTACCTCTTTGCCACAACAGGCAGTTAGGAAATACAGATACAGATTAACAGAGTTGGAAGGGGATTTGTAAGTCATCGAATCCAAGCAGGAGACCCTACACCATTTCTGACAGATGGCAATCCAATCTCTTCTTGAAAGTCTCAAGTGATGAAGCTCCCACAACTTCTGAAACTAACTTCTATTTCATTGGTTGATTGTTCTCACTGTCAGAAAATTTCTCCTTATTTCTGACCAATCTCTCCTTGGTGTCAGGTTTCGAGGTCGTCTCAAATAAATTGGCATTTCAAACAAAGTCTTTGAAGAAAAATTCCCATTTATTAAGCACGACATTCTACCTCCGACTCATCGAAGCCAACACTGACTTCCAGACCCAAAACCTTCCCTTTCTGTTCCCCACTCCCCTGCACTCATTAGCAATCTTCCAAGTCATTCTACCCCTAATCTACTGCTCCAGCTCAAAGGAATTTCCCCCCTCCCATCCCATCTCCTAGGGGATATTATCTCCAGGGAAAATAAGTAGGTGAAAAGTCAAACGTCCCTTTCCAGACGCCTCCGCTTCTCCTTCTTATGTCAGCACTAGAGTAAATGCAGTTTGAAGTGCTGACATCTGGTCAGTTTCCATCCATTATTCCTTGTCTGGCCTTCGGGAAAATAGCTTGACCCCCTTCCTCCTCTCTGTGGCAGCCCCTCATATATTGGAAGATGCTATCCTGTCTCCCCTGGTCCTTCTCTTCACTAGACTAGCCAGGCCCAGTTCCTGCAACCGTTCTTCGTATGTTTTAGCCTCCAGTCCCCTCATCATCCTGGTTGCTCTTCTCTGCACTCTTTCTAGAGTCTCCACATCTTTTTTATAGTGTGGTGATCAAAACTGGATGCAATATTCTAGGTGTGGTCTTACTAAGGCTTTATAGGGTAGTATTAGTACCTCACTAGATCTAGATTGTATCCCTCTATTAATGCAATTTAGGATTGCATTGCACTTGTGGTTATTTATTATTATTAATTTGATTTATATGCCGCCCTTCTCCGGAGACTCAGGGCGGCTTACAATGCGTTAAGCAATAGCCTTCATACTTTTTGTATATTTATACAAAGTCAGCTTATTGCCCCCACAAACTGGGTCCTCAATTTACCTACCTTAGAAAGGATGGGAGGCTGAGTCAACCTTGAGCCTTGGAGAGATTCGATCTTACTTTAATTGCAGACAGCTGGTGTTAAATTACAATGTTCTGTCTGTTGAGCTATCCAGGCTGGTTGTTGGCTTTCCTGTCTCTCTGTGGCTAATTCCAACAATTTCTGAAGATGTCTCGTTCCTTCAGCGTGGGGATGAATTCCTGCCTTAAAGGAATGTACAGACCAGGATTTAGAGGCAGGTCCCTGGCTAGTTAATCCGTCTTGTGTATTTGGACGCTCTTCTGTCGTCTCTTTGCGAGCAGCCTCTCCGCTGGCCCGGCTCACCCTCTGATCTAAATTTACGACCGTTGCTTTGAGAGAACCACGACGATGCTAAATATAGGCTCGCCGAAGGTGAAGCCAATAAACGTAGCGCCATTAATGTACCTTTCGTTGCAACGCATTTGGCTCAGTGTGAAACATGAAGAGCACAAAGAGAGGTGTGCAGGATCCAGGCTCCACAGATTCCTTACCGGGAGAGATTGATGCCGTCCACACGCCCTCTTTAATTGGTTCGTTATGAACCTGGCAGTTTTTACTCATCAAATACCGAATGTTCTCATTCTCTACTCCCAAGAGTTGGGCGGAGTCTGCTGCTGGGGTCAGGCCCGATCCACCAGACTCACACGCATAGAGTTCAAACCAGCTACTTTATTGTTTTATGCCTCTAATACAGGAATCTTCCCAGACTGGCAACTTTCTCCTGGGAAAAAGAAAACTAGAAAAGGCTCAAAAGCATTCAGGACAGGGTTCAGATCTACCACCACTCTTGTGTTTATGTAAGGTGAAAAAGGTAAACATTTCCCTGTCCAGTTGTGTCCGGTTCTAGGGCACGATGCTCATCTCCGTTTCTTGGCTGAGGGAGATAGCATTGTCCAAAGATATTTTCCGTGGTCATGTGGCCAGCATGGCTATATGCCAAAAGCACACAGAATAGCCATAACTCTCAAGCTCATAAACTGCTTCATAGTCCTCCCTAAGCAGTTTACAGAGTCAGCATGTTGCCCCCCACAATCTGGGTCCTCGTTTTACCAACCTCGGAAAGATGGAAGGTAGAGTCAATCTTAAACCGGTCAGAATCGAACTCCTGACAGTGGGCAGAGTCTGCCTGCAATACTGCATTCTGACCTCTGCGCCACCGCGGCTCTATATGCTGTTACCTTCCCACCAAAGTGGTACCTATTTATCTACTCGCATTTGCATGCTTTGGAACTGCTAGATGGGCGGGAGTTGGAGCAAGAACAGGAGCTCACCGTCCTTGCATGGAGCTCGGGTCTCAAACCCGGGCTGTCAGCTCTCCAAGCTCAGCGTTTTTAACCGCCGTGGAGTCCAGGCTAATTCCCTGCTTGATCCCTTCTCCTGTCTGGGACAGTTGCTCTCTAATATCAGGTAACCTGTTAAACTACCCTTTAAGCAGTCATTCTTCCCTTCCTGCTGAAATGGGCATCCAGGCACTGCTATTAACATAGAATTGTAGAATCATATAGGGACGTGGTGGCTCAGTGGCTAAGATGCTGAGCTTGTCGATGGAAAGGTCGGCAGTTCAGCGGTTCGAATCCCTAGTGCTGCGTAACGGGGTGAGCTCCCGTGACTTGTCCCAGCTTCTGCCAACCTAGCAGTTCGAAAGCAGGTAAAAAACGCAAGTAGGAAAATAGGGACCACCTTTGGTGGGAAGGGAAGAGCGTTCCGTGCGCCTTTGGCGTTGAGTCATGCCGGCCACATGACCACGGAGACGTCTTCGGACAGCGCTGGCTCTCCGGCTTTGAAACGGAGATGAGCACCGCCCCCTAGAGTCGGGAACAACTAGCACATATGTGCGAGGGGAACCTTTACCTTTATAGAATCATCAGATTCTTTATTGGCCAAGCACGATTGGACACACAAGGAATTATTTGCAAGGATCAACCTAAAACAGATCTCTGGGAAGGTTTTGAGTTTCCTTCCCTTTAGACAGTCCGAGTTGAAAGCCATAAAATATTGATTGGAGCCATTATGGTCATAGCTTCTTCCCTTCCTCCCATTTAAAGTTGTCCCTGCGCCTCCATTCCTCATCGGTTCCATTTCTTTAGCTTTTCTTCCAAGGAAAACCTTCGGATAAATCAAAACGTTGAGGACAGCATCTCCTGGGAAGTTCTGCATCGGCTGGCGAGGGAGGATTTATGACTTTGTCCTTTGCCTTGACCAGACTCTTGACTAGCTTTTGTGTCCATAAAATAGCCCTGAATTGCATGCATTAACCCAGCCTGTCTTTAGAAATAGAAATCATAGAATCACAGTGCTGGAAAAGGGACTTCAGAGGCCTTCTAGTCCACCCCCCTGCTCAAGGCAGGAGATTTTATATACCATCCCAGACAAAGCAATAGCACTTAGACTTATATACCGCTTTACAGTGCTTTTACAG